CACCCTCCTGGCTCTACTTTGACCTCCAGATGACTAAAGGATACTCAAGGCAATGTCGCTAAGGGTCGGGTCGGTCTTTTAATCACTTATTAATACGTTTCATCCTCACCCGGAGGTCAAACATCGAACAGCTGGGTGCTTGGGGGTACTTTGGGGTGCTGGGGCAGGGGTTCCACCCAGCTGATTTGCTTGAAAGGACGAAGAGGCTGCGCCTGGCCAGCTGAGTCGGGCACCAAGTAGCTGTGTTCCAGAGCAGAGCATCAACGAATGGAGCCGTGCTTCAAAAGATGGCCCCCACTGAAGAAGCGTCCACCAAGCGATCCGGAGATCCCGATCTGAAGTTGTGACCCGACAGTACTGGAATAAGAGCTAGGAAGTCTGGTGACTGGTCCTCCTACTACCTCAAACCTTCTTGCCAGGTCTTTGGACACTTTGGGCAGAGTACCCAAATCTTAGTTTCCTCTGAAAGGTGCTGTTTGATCCAAAACAATTTTGGCCAATCAAGAGCTACCGCCAGGCTGTAGTCCCGTTCTTAGCTGGACCCTAGACTGCAAAGCGAGGTCAACTTCCTCTACCAACCGTTATTCTACAGACAAGACAAGGCAACAAAGGACAGGACCCCTCTCTTTCAAGAAGAACATAGGTGGGGTTTTGGGATGCTTGGGCCATCACCCCCTCACAACTTCCTCCCGTTTGACCACGGCCAGATGTGAATACCGGCGGCCGGCGTGTGCGGAAGCGGCAGACTGCTAAGGAGGTGCGCGCGGTTTAGTTCGGATAGGTTCTGGAATCCTATGCTTGAAAGTTCCTGACCAAGTTGGAAGATGTAGTATCAAGAAGCTACTAGTAACTAGTAACAAGGGCATTGCTACTAGGAGCAAGGACGCTACTGGTTCCCCAAACTCCCACCCCACCAACACCAACTTGGCGGATTTGGAGCAGCGTCCTGCTTGCTCCAACTTACTCTCCACATCCCTCCACAAAGTGTGGTCTATGTGAGGTGGACTCTAATTCTATTTTGGCTGACGTCCAGACCGGGGTGATCCCGCTAAAGACCTTTCCACAAACCACTGCAGCCCCAAGAAAAGCCACCCACGGGGGGCAGAGTGGAAGATCTTCGGGCAGCCAAGGAAACCCACAGAAATCAGCGTAATGCAGCACTGTTGCTGAGGGAAACACCGCAGGAACGGACAGCTTGTGCCAATCGGCAAGCAACATTGCAGTCTAACTCGGACGAGTTCTGGGAATGTGGTCTCTATTTCTCGTCCGAAAAACTGCTAGGCAAGAGCCAACCTGCAGAAGCAACAGAAGCTGGGAAGCTCAGGAACACCCTCTTTTTGCTGTCTTTTGGGAACCTTCAAATTGGTACCTTTCATGTGCTCATACCTTCCATGCAGACGAAGCTGATTGTTGACAACCGTGGTTTCATGCGGCTGTTGTATGGTTTTGAGTCTTGAGGAAAGCCAACTGAGTGATCAAATGGAAAAGGGTCTTGTTCGGGTTGCCAAACCAGAGCTGTGGAGGGTTCCACTTGGAGAGTTCGCTTGGAGAGTCTCCACTGTCCCGGACATTTTTTTGTACTGACGTTCCAGCTATAGAACACGCTCCTGGAGCATCAAATCGTTCTGCCAAGACGTTCCGAGTCCTTCCGTGACTGTCCATCGTATACCGCCGAGTACGGCGAACGTCAGTTCCGAACTCCTTGGGACTGCCGCAGGGGAACCGACTCAGGAAGAAGCCAGCAAAAGCCAACAACCAGAAGTGCAAGGACTGGTGGCTGTATGCGGCTGTCATGCCTTAAATCTTCCACACTGTGGGGGGAGTTTTGGGGTCACAAACGAAGAAAAGGTGATTGCACGTTGCGCCAAGACGTATTTCGATGGAGGCTAAGAATGCTATGGTTGATTTGATTGGATTGAGGATTTCAGTTGATTGAGTCATACCTTGTGAACTTGCATAACATGATATAACATCAATATACATCAATAAAGCCACCCCATGATCAGTTGCAAGTCCCTCCCTCTCACCAGATCTTGCCGATGTCAAGCCATTCGGCTCACTCGTTGGATGATGATGCTGCCTCGAACATGGACCACAAGTCCACTGCATTATAAGTGGGTCCTGTTCTCTATTCTATCTTCCATCATGTCAGGCTTATGCGATTCCACCCGAGATCTGAATATGAGTGGAGGTTCCCAGTCCCAGAATAGAGGTATTTGAAAGATATGTCTTACCAACAGTACTTAAACGGCTTTCACAACATCATCTTCACGCCGGACGTGCCAACCACTTGGGCTTAAACAACGCATACTGTAGCTGCCAGGACTATCGCCGAGCAAAAGCTGAGATAAAGGAGTGGCTGAGCTGAGCAAAGGAACATGCCTTGATGCGATCTGAGCAGGGTGAAGACGTGCAGGAAAGGATACCAGTGTTTTGTTGCCACAGCTATAGACATCAATTAGGGGCGGCTTAATGGTTGGTCATGGCAGGGTAGCTGATGTGTATGATGATGATAGTTCTTGGCACATTACCTTTGGTCAGGAATATTTCCAGCTGGCTATTGTAACAACCACGGAATCTAGGATCTACGACAACCTGAAGATTCATGTGCAATCACCAACGGCCCACACCTTGGTGATCTCTAAGAACCTTTGGACAGGCAGCTTGCAGGGGACACCACAACAGCAAGACGAGGAGTTCACTACGGTTCTTATTGGATATCTTTAGCAAAACCACTGTTGTGAATGCAACAGCCTGATGGAGTATCTCCTGTGACCAAGTGGCTAAAATGGACACGTCAGTTCTTGTTTCTATCAGAGCAGGAGCCCCTCAAGCACCTTGAAACTCACTGTTCAGACGATGCACCAGACTGCCATGAGGGGGCTAAGACTGTTCTTGCAGTCTTACAGGTCGTTTCCAGTGCACCAGCCACAGCCCCGAGATCGCGTCAAGCCCCAGGGACCCGCGCAGGTGTGTACAGGCGTGTCACCCAGCATGACCAAGCCGCCTGCTGGTCAAACGACCGGAGTGCACAGGTGCATCATGCTGAGCAGAAAAGGGAGCAGTGCCTTTACCTGCATTAGACCCAAATGGTTTGAGGGAGCCTATATTGGTAGGCAAGTAATGTGCCAAACATCCCAAGGATGAGTCTTTCCGAGTGCATAGTAATGTGTTCAGGAGGTTCCTCTTGAAGTCTTGCCTAAACAAATCTGCCGCCTTGCGCCGGCGACAACCACCGATCCACACGCCGAAAACCGCACGTGCGAAGAACCCGATGACGAACGTGCAAAACATGTCCTGACGAACGAGCGTGCTCGTGCGAACGAGCAAAACATCGTTCTCCCGAAGGCGCAAATGAGAACCATCCATTCATTATGGTGTTCTGTTCGTTTTGGTGCCCAGGTTTCTGGTGCCCAAACCATCATGTTAGCCGGGCTAAGCCCAGAGTTGGCCAATGACTTGGACCAGAGTTTGCCATGATGTTTTGGTTTTGAAGTCACATCCAGATGTGAACACACCCACACCCTCAATCACGCCAGTTGTCGGAGAAGGGGACCGACGGTGGAGGCGCGAGTCGCGAGACCAGTCACGGCGCTCCGGGGTTTGGCTTCGGTTCTAATCGGAGTGACCCACCAGAGATCGCACATGATCGCACATCGGGTCACCTTTGGACTTCCTATGCTACATCCAGTGAGAGCTTTCTTGTTTACGAATGATCACGACAAGGGAGTCACGATCGTCGTCATGAGTCCTCCGCACGATCGTCATGGCACGCGGACTCCACGGACGCCTTTCGCCACGCCAGCTGGAGGAATCCGCCCAGTGGACGAAGAGATCCTGAAGTTGTTGAATGATTTGCTGAAGGACTGGGCAATGTACTTGAGGGTTAGGTTTGTTCTCCTGCAATGGACCACCAAGCAGATCTCAGGAAAGTTCAGGAAATCCCCAAAATCGGAGGCTCTGGAAAGGACACCGGCAGCCTGCGAGCAAGGTGACGTTCGTGGCTTTTGCTAAAGGTATCCAAACTAAATTTCTTGTGGTTGGTGCTAAGAGTTGCCCCACAGAAACCTAGAGATGCCCGAAGATGTCTAGGTCTTGACGTACTGAGCCAGCCGTCCAAGGATCAAAACCAAGCTATGCCAATCGCCAACATGACAAGCCCTTCACTTCATACCTTGCAAGAACCCTCTGCTCCGCATCACAGACCAAAGCGCTTGGGCAGGCACAGCAAGCACCACCGCAAGTGGAGCCCAGCTGCTTGGCATGAAGCTGCTGTGCTGCTGTGGGAAGATATTTTGGTAGATGACGCTGCCTAGTGTGTTAATCGTGGATTTTGGTGCTCCCGTTAAAAGGTTTTTCCCTGTATCAGATCTTTCTGCCAGGGTCGGGGGCGCCCGATGGTAGGTGGAGGGTCGGGCAGGGGTTCATCCTCAAACGTGGTCAGATTGTTGATTGCCAGGGAACATCGACTACCCCAAAGACTTTCCAGATGTCTCTATGCCTCCCTAACTTTCTGATATGGGTGTCACAGCATTGATATGGATTGAATATGGATTCTTCCACAGGGAAATGGTTCCCATGACCTTTTCCAGTCCCAAAGGGACTTGAGGAGTGCCTCAACAACTCGGACCAACGACGGCCTTTCAGACTCTTTCTCAGGTGGTTCGGCCGCGCTAGACGCTGCCTGGGAGCCTGAAGCGACCCAGAACGAAGTATCGGAGTGGCGGCTGAGTGGCGGATGGCGGTTCATTTTTATAGAAGTATGCACTGCCTGGGAGCCAGTTAGTTTGCTGTGCCAATGGAAGCTGTTTCAGGGTCATTGTAATGGTCAATATATTGATTTGCAAGTGCCCAGAGTTTCTGCGGTCATGGACAACAGCCACTGTGGCCCAAATCAAATCAAAGTTGTTTGATCGCCAGCGTCATGTGGCCAAATTCAATGACACCTTTGGGTGTCCCATTCGCTCTTGCTTGCCATGTAACTTTATTTCAATTTCCAAATGTCTATGCGGCAAGGCCGAGTGCAACTTGGCGGACCATTTGAAGAAGTGATCACTGAATCACTGATGCCATTCCACCAAAGTGACACCGAACAGTGGACCTATCATAGGAGGAGGAAACACTTTGCTGAGCGTGTGGTATTGTACTACTCTTTGCTGACACTTTGTTAGGCTGCATGTAACACATGTGTCGGTGGCTAAAGCGTTATTTGTCCAGTTCTTTGCAAGCTCAGCATGTTATGCCATGCTCATGCTGTTTGTTCTAGCAGCCAGCCTCACGGGCTTGTGATGGGCCACCACTCTGCCAGAGCCGAGAGCAGTTTTGGTGAAGTAAGACGGACAGAACCTGGATTGCCAGGCTATATAGTTCCAATATGTTCCAATAGAATGCCTCTATTCCCTTATTCTGACACAGAGGTACTTCAATCTGCTTTGTTCGCCGGGGATCAGACAAAGATCAGGTGGCAGGACTGGCAGCGGAGTTCTGGTTGGTTGGCTAGTGCTTGTTGGTGAGCCTAAAGTAACCAAAGGGTTGTCCCGTGAAAGCTCTCATTTGAGCTCTGGGTGGGTCGTGTTCACCCTGGGTGAACAGGTCCAGTTTTCGGGCCCCCGAACCTGCACAGGAGCATTCCGAACTCAATGACGAAAGCTGCCTTGGGGGCTCTTTGGACTTGGGCCTGCCGCACTACAGGGTACCTGAGGCGTCGAGACAGATTTGAGGCATGCCAGACTAGAGTGGGTGTGGATTTAGGTGCCATCTAATCTAGATGATGCGTGCTTGCGCAGTTTCCACACACGTCACCTGTTCATGCAGTCGGCACTCATGATATGATCATGAACTAACTTGCTTTAGTTGCTTGTTGGATCTGGTTACTATATGCAACTACTTGTGTGTTCTTCTTGGATTTTACCACCAGAGATTAAATCGTGTTGAGCCGTTTCTTTCTGCTGCCGTTGCCACAAGGACGACGCAAACGAGTTATCGCAGTTCGATCGGGATGCCTGGTGATATACAGTGCTGGAGCTGGTCCCAAGACATCCTTCCCTGGGCTTGCAGGATACAATTGGACGGCCCGATCACTGGCAACAACCTCACCTTGCACGGGAACATGGAGCTACTTGGAGATTAGGGTTCTTCGTTCTCTTTCGATTCTTACGGAGCAAAGGGCCCGAAAGGGGTAATCTTGAATATATACATGCATGTTCTTGTTGTGGCGTTTCCGCTAGAATTTCGAGGTGCCTTTGTATCTGATGTTATCAGAAGGCTTTCCCAAGAATAATCCTGAGCATGCAGTATCCTGGACTATTTTTATAAGTGAGCGATACATTCTTGATCTCAGTTGAACCCTTGGCGCGCTTGGTAAAGATGGAGAAAGTTTGAGATTGAGCGAGTATGTATGTTCTGTGATACTACGCCCTTGCCATGTTCTACACTTGTATCCAAGCCTTTCCTCACTGCCTTTTGCAACAAGGTTTTATGCTACAAGGCCATTCCACAAGGTCAGCGGATTGCAGTGTGCTAGTGTGCTTGAGCAATGCTAAAATATTTGCCGAGCATAATCTCAACGTTGAAGTTCATGTATGTAGTACAGGATTTTTGTCTTGAACAAGCCGCATTGCCATCGGTAAAACCCTCGTGTCTGAAAAGCAACAAGCGCCGCAGTAAACTAACCTTCACACTGGCATGAGTTGTAGGCATCACCCCTCTCATGATGTGCGCCAGGCGTGTCTCCAATTGACGGGCACCCTATCAGTGGTCGGCACAGTGTTGATCCAGAACTGCAGCAACGTCAACTCTCAGGCGGGGTGAAGAGGCAAGTCTTCAGAAGGTGAGAAGAGCGAGGTTGACTCCAGCAAGGGGGCCAAGATCGATGGTATTTCTTCATGGCAACCAATCAAATAGCCTTAAAGCGACCAATCGAAGCATCTACGACATTCTTTTTCTGTAGGATCCGTAATCTTTCGACTCCCAGGAAAGTGGAGGTGGTGGACAAGCACGTGGGCTGCAGATTCCGCCGACGGGCAATCTTACCTTCCGGAACTGTGTTGCGAAGAGTAGTGGTGGAGGCACATGCAAGAGATATGTCGCAAGATTTGGCGAAAGCCGACGCAACAAGTAGAACTTACACTTACACAATTCCAATTCAAGACATTGTGTGCTCTTGGTTGTTGGTCATCTCATCTAAATGGAAGTCACAGGGTGTTTGACTTCAACGTTGTTGATATATTTATACTGCCACGGTTGAGTTCAAGATTACAACACCGCATGCATGTTCGCCAAAGTTGCTTCAGGATTCGCTTGTGGTGACCATGGTGTGCACTTGACCGGATCATTGGCCTTTCACCATTGCGAAGCGGAACTTCAGGGTGGCGGTCTGATAGTAAGGCCGTCCAAAAATCTGGAACTTCGAGATTCAAAATATCAAATGCTCACCAAAGCTCTCGTCTAGGACACTTGCCCACCGACTCTAACATGAACATGGACGTGGTGTATTCATTTTGTTGCTTTCAATAGTGGCACAAGGATCACCTGCACTTTGGACATCCTTTGCATTTTGATATGAATGAATGTTGTTCTTTTGCAGCGAGGTCAGGGGCCTTGACGCAAAAACATGGCAGCTTGAAGTTCAGCCACTGCTTCTGTCGGCCGAGATCGGAGAAGAGTCGCCCGAAGTGACTGGGAGGTCAGTTGGAAGTGTGGAGATGTGTCGATGTTAGAAAGTAGTTGATATGTTTCAGGCGATCCTTTCTGGACTAATGTATTCAGGCATTTTGTTGTGCTGCTGCTGGATGTACTTTCAGCTTGTTTCAAGATCCTCGTACTAAAACGGCATCAGTGATATTGACCACTGTCAGCTGCAGGACTTTGTTTTGCATAGGAAGCAGTTTGGGTCCTTCGCGCTGATAAACTAATCATGAGTCCTCAACAAAGAGAGGCCATCAGAATTTTGCGTCGGCGACTCCTTTCTCAAATCTCCAAGGTCAACAAAGATGTTGTTGAAGCGTTGTCAATTTGTTGGAATGCTGACACTCGAGGAGGAACTGCGAGGGGAAGGAGGTGCATTGGCCATTGAAGATGGCAGCTTCTCCCTCATCAAGGGCCAGATGATGGTCGACAGCTGCATGGCCAAGATGGGCGGAGGCATCTATTTGGCTCGTAGCCACCTGGCGCAGTCAGGTGCCTCTGTTTCAAAATCGAGCAAAAACAGGTCAGGTAATTGCCAGAATTGTCCATATATGCTCAACCAGGGAGTAACAAGCAAGTATGCTTTTCGCTGGAGAGACACATAAATTCTTGCAAACTAACCCTTCGAGTCACAGGTGGCAATTTGACGATCAAGGATTGCAAAGCCGAGAATGGTGGTGGCTTGGCACTCCACGAGAGCCCCATGATTCTCTCGGAGGGTGGCAGATTGAGCTCCAAGAAATGCATAGCCGCAAACTCCGGCGGTGGTGCATGGGTCAATTCTGGTGATGTCATACAGCAGGGCGGAACCCTTGCTTTTGAGGACTGTGAGGCTAAGCAGTTTGGCGGTGGTATGTACATCAAGGGCCACATTTCACAGCTTGATGGGAGGATGCTTCTCGATAGGTGCAAGGTTCAAAGCAATCAAAGCTTTCAGCAGCTTTCTGAAGCGGAATCTCATCAGAGCAATGACAAGCCAAGCTGGGGCTTTGGTGGCCCAATGTTGCAAAAGGATGCTGAATCGGAATCTGACAAGAACAAGCTAAGCTGGAGCTTTGGCAGCTCAGACCTGCAGAAGGATGCTGAATCGGAATCTGACAAGAGCGAGCTAAGCTGGGACTTTGCCCCGATCTTGCAGAAGGATGCTGATTTGGAATCTGACAAGAGCAAGCTAGGCTGGGGCTCTGGCAGCCCGACCCTGCAGAAATATGCTGAATCAGACTCGGATAGGCATACTCTTGGTGGGGGTGGTGTATGGGTCCAATCAGGTAAAATCTATCAGAAGGATGGAAGTATGTCCTTTGTCGGGTGTTACAGCGAGGGTGTTGGAGGTGGGCTTGGGGTGGTGGCAGGGAGCATCCAACAGCATGGTGGCATCGTGCAGTTTGGTGACTGTGCAGCCAGGCGGTCTGGTGGTGGCATAAGGCAATATCTCGCAGATGGATGGGACTTTGAAGTTCTACAGGTGTAGGTCTTGGCCAAAGAAACTGATGAATACTGTCCCTTGGGGCGGTGGTTGTGCGTGGGTCCAATCAGGGGAGGTGAAGCAGAATGGTGGGAATATGTTCTTCTTCAGTTGCCACACAATGGGCCATGGAGGCGGGCTCGCAGTTCTAGAAGGGAACATCCAACAACGTGGCGGCCACCTTCAGTTTGATGACTGTGAGGCTAAGCAGTTTGGCGGTGGTATGTACGTCAAGGGCAATGTTTCTCAGTTTCATGGCACAATCGCGCTCAACAGGTGCAATGCGTTTCACAAGAGGAAATGGAATCCACACAATCTGATCCTCCCCTATAGCTCCAGCTTTGGTGGCCCAATGTCAGCGCAGGGCACAGATTCAAGCTCTCCGTTTAGCTTTCGTGGCCCAACGTCAGAGCAGGGCGCGTATTCAAGCTCTCAGTTTAGCTTTGGTGGCCCGCCGTCAGAGCACGGCACACGATCAAGCTCGCAGTTTAGCTTTGCTGGCCCGACGTCAGAGCAGGGCGCAGATTCAAGCTCTCAGTTTAGCT